CGACCAATGAGCAGCTCATATGTACTGGGGCCCGTGTTACCGGGATTGCGTAAACATAAGAAGGCAGCGAAACGAAATCCGACAACAATGTTCGTCACATTTCACTCCGTCGCATTCTGTTCCGACTGCTTTCTTCGTCACGTGGGTCGGACAGTAACATCACTGTCGTTCTATAGCTATAGACACGAGCATCCTGAGTGCAAGAGTTCCCTTGCCCCTGTGACTTTCAGTTTGCTGTAGGTCAGCATGGACGTGGTGGGCCAACTGTATATGGCTTAATACCTTACTGACCGGTAATTTTATCCGAACATTATTCCTTTAAACTTGAATAAACCTACTTTAATCACATATAATATGTGAGACTAATAAAAACAATTTAACCCCTTGTAGAACTACTTTATTTTTCTAATTCACTAGAAGAATGAGGATAATTCATGCTCATTTTATGTCTACGTTTACTTTAGAAAATTACGATAGACAATAGAAAAATAATATTTAATTTGAATTTAAAGGGATTATTGACATTATTGTCTATTAAATTTTGTTTGAAATCATCGTCACTAATCGCAACTTATAATCGTTGTTATAACAACGTAATACTGCCTTCAGACAAATGTGAATGAAATAGAAACGTAATTTAATTCGTGAACTGCCTATTTACTAAATATGATATAATTACAGTACTACGAATAATTGTAGCGAGAAGTCACCAACTACTTAACTGTTGAAATAAATTGAACGTCGAGTCTTGCTCGACACAGGGCTGCAAAGGGTTAAGGGTCAAGTGTCGTTTCGGTGTACCCTTGTTTTTCTCAAGCGGCGTGCCCCCCGAACGTGTTCCCCGTTCCCCGACCTTCGGAAGTCGTAACTGTAAATGGCGGCGTCTCGTGGGCGCGTATCACCACCGCGAAAAAGGATGACGAAACGTCTCCTCGCGACGGGCACAATTCGTCGGTTTATTTCGCCGCACAGACCAGTTTCGCGCACGATATCCGCGCGGTCGAGTTGCTCGAATTATTTTTATTGTTTTTCTCGTTCCCTTTTCCCCCTTCCGCCAGCCCTCTCTCCGTCTGGCACCCACTACTCGCCACGCAATTTCGAAGTCTCTCCTGTGACCATGATACCGTTTCCTTTCAACTCCGGGGCTGACCCCGTCCACGTTCAGTGTCCGGACCCGATTTTTGATTCATTCCAGATCGTGTTACGTTGATTTTGTCTTCTTTTTGAATCCGGTGGATGTTTTGTTTATTTATTATTATTTTCATGCTGTTCGAAACTAGAACTAACGTACCAGTCAAAATGACTTGCTTCACTTTTCTTCATTTGAAATTATGGGTATCATAAAAGTGTTGAATATATTTATAATTGGCTTAGAAATTAATACTTTTATTTGCGTACCATTATAATAGCAGAAACTCATATAACAATAGATCTTCATAAGGATAACGTATCAGCCGTATTAAATACTCGGTAGTTCTAGTATTAAATTTGTTTATTTTGGTTCAGTTTAGTAAGATTTTTTAGTAACATCGATGTTCAGTTTCTTGAGCTTGTCGATTCTTTTGTCCCGAGAGGATTATCGTCATTATTTCAGCTCCGTCGAATGTTTTTGTTTATTTATAATTATCTTCGTTTCTGTTTACATCACTTTAACATTACATCGATATTAAATATATTAATTATATTGTTACTTATTTAAATCTTTGTACTTCTTTTCGTGTCCTTTTTATAATGATTATGAGCTTTTCATGAGGTCGGTCAACGTAGTGAATAGATTCAATCAAAGCAGAGTGAGGGGAATGGACCAGAAAATCAAACTCAATGAAGATTAATGACTGATTAACCACCAATGAACGAAAGCCTTCGCAGAGCTTCTTGAATGTTTAAGTTATGCTCTTCGGTTGGAAAAAAATATTGATACTGATAAAACATTTCGCGCGATCTGCATAGCTGTTGGCATTTTCCTTGCATTTTTCACCTGGTTCGAAGAAAAATTACACGTCGGTTTCAGACGCCGTTTAAAATTAGCTACAATTTGCAAGTTTGCGTCGTTATCTTTATCGTGTATACTATTTAGGTCAGTCCTTATCGTCAACTCATTTGATAATACTGTGCAGTGAATGGAAATTGCCTTTGTTTACAAGTAATCAATGTAGTTTCGTTATTGATTTCATTCAGCTGACGTTAATGCGTCGATCGATAAGCTATCTATAAATTGGAATGATTATTTCTTAAATCTCGAACGTCACGAAAATTGAAATAGATACCTTTCATTTCCTAGAATTGAAATGAACTACAGTGAACTGCATTTTTATGCACCCACTGAAATTCCATGAAAACTTGCTTTCTGGAGATATTGAGAAGAAACTCAACGAGAATTTTCTTCTATTTCGCATGTTACACCACATCAATACGATTCGACGAATCTAATTTTTGATTTACAAGTTCCTTACGATCGGTAAATTTGTAGACACTGACGTAATATCACAATTCTATACTGCACTTGAGAATAGTAATATATTCTCGGTATAGTGAACAATTCTCATGAAATGGATCATAAACATGGAGGTTACGAGTGTACCTCTTGATAAATGGAATGTTCTAACAAAAGATAGTACCGAATTTACGTTAAAAATTTCGAGAATACTCCAAGCAAATCGGTAAAAACGTGTTAGAACCTTTTACTGCGTCTCGCATTTTTAATCCCTTAATATTCCCCCGTTTCGAGGCTGAAATCGTAGGAAAGATCGTTCCGACCGATTCAACCGTCTAACCTGCGATACCGCAGATTTTATGGTAGAGCTTTGCAGTGTTCAAACACAAATCGCGTCATGTGACAATACTTACAGCAGCTTCGCAGAAGTTAGGATTGTCATTCAAATGGCCGCGTCAAACATACTCTTGCCGTACAATAAATCGCGATGTGTATGAGCGTTGTCCGCGACAGACAGATGCGACGGTCATCTCGCACCGATAATAATCTATAAATTCGAAATAAATTTCATAAGACACGAAATCTTCCGTGAGAAACGATTGCATTACATTTCTTTTTCTACATTTCTACGCGGAGAACTGTCGCATATACTTGTCGCGTAAAAAAGTAAATTACCTTTTGAATTCTTATATTTTCTCTTTATCGTTAGAGCGCCTCTTCCTATGATGTCTCTAATATTTCAAATGTCTGTCGAACTATCGCACAGATTTTCCACGTACGAATTCCTTTTGCTCTAACAATTCCAAACTTCTTCGATCAGTCTATTAAACTTTCGTACTTTCTATTTATAAGTTTTCTTTGTCATTTCTAATTCTTTGTTTTGCTTCAGTTTCTCATCAGAATATATTATAAGTGCATTTGTCCTGCCGTCGACGAATGTACACTTCACTGTTTGATTTTAGTACGCGTACAATAAGAGATTTTCGAAATTAAATTCCACAGTTAAATTGAACAGGTTCCTTCGTTTTCGTTGCTTTAAATTTCCACCAATATTCGCGGCGTTCGGACGTTCCGCTTGCGAGTTTCCTCTGGCAATTTCCATTCCGTAGGCTGCGTTTACACCTGATTTCACATTAGTCTCGAGCAGCGGCGCGGTTTATCTTTATTTCTTTATCTGGATGCCGCGGAATGAGCCCGTTTAGTTTCTAGCCGGGGTTGGTGTAGGTCGCGCGCACGGTGTCGGTCTGTGATTACGAATCGCGTGGGCGTTTCGCGCTGTCCCGATAAGATGGATGAAACGGGCCGATAAGATCGATAGAAAATCCACTCGGTAATAGCAGGAATCGAGAGCGTGCATGATTTAATAATATTGCATCCTTCGTTTGATTTACGGCCGCTCGACGACGCACAAAATGACCCTGCGGATTTCCTCTTCTTTATTCTCCTTTTTTTCTCTCTTTTTCTCTTCTCTTTTCTTCTCTTTTTCTTTTTGCCGGCGAACTGCTGCGCGATGTGCCAGTTACCGACGCGTCGTCCTTGCCTTTTTCGCGGGAGGTATAACAATCCCTGTTACGATTACGCTTTTTTTACGTTATTTTATGTTATAAATCGGAATTAGCCTGTCTAACGCGCGTGGACGCTGCGTACAGTCACCCACGAAACCCTTGGCCAAAGGAGAACGGCCCTTTTAGTAACTGTGGACACCGTATTTGTGTAATAAATTATTGATACGTGTCGAAACGTTCGATATCATTGTGCAGAAATGTTCGTGCGAATACGCGGGGGATGAACTATAAATTCATCTCTGGGAATTATTGAAAAGTTATTCATCAAAGGAACATGCTTACTGTAAAGAAAAATAGGCATACGTATTTTGTTCAGTTTCGTCAAGGTAACTTTTCCTATAGAAACCCCAATTGCGCATCCACTGAAATTCAATTTCAATTTCCCCGCGAACTCCTCAAAGTAGCATCTATTATCTTTTAAATCATTCTAAAACAAAAATTCCAAACTAAGTAATATCGACTCACTCAGTAGTTCCCGTGTTAACCGCTTGCCTTATAAATAACGTGTCAGACTCGTAGTGAAGATTTTCAACATGATTTAACAAACATAAATATCACTCGATTCATTCGAATTCAAAGTAAATATTAGTCTTCTGTAATCAATTATTATTGCTTAAGAGCAAACATAGGTATAGAATATGCCTAGAATTTTTCTCTTTTCCCAATAAATAATTAATGACAAAGTAGTCGTATCGATTAGAGTTGGGAAAGAAATGACAGGGCAAGGGGTAATAAGATTTTCATCAGGTAAAGATATGAATTATCATCGCATTTGCTAGAAGAAGAGAAGAAAAACCGCGCGAAACAATTTTCCATCCCGTTGTTCCCGTGAACGGTCGCGATACTAGGTATCGCCGAGAGCGCTGTTAGCGCTGTCGGCCTCTCGCCGGCGAGCCGGGACCAATCTGTCGGCCCCGGCAGAATGCAAGAACTTATCAGTGGTCTTACGAGCAGTTGCTATGCGTTATGGAAGGGGTCCCTGCAGTCACCTACTAGCTCGACCAGTCAGAAGTCAGTGTGTGGTAAGCCGGCCGGTCGCACCGGCTCCTTTTCTCTCTTTGCTCCGTTGCACTTTCGCGTCCCCGAAAAATCGTGCAAATACTACGCCCGACCGGGGTTCATTCAGGTCGACCGTCGTCGATCGATCCCTAGGCCAGTGCCAGAGTTTTCATCCGGATAAGGCATCCTTGATCCGCGAAATCGTCGCGAAACCTCTTGGACACATTCCTTGGCAGCTCGCGTTCAGAAATCATCTTGCCGGAGCTACGGTTCTACAGTGTTGACGTCTGTCTCGGAGAACTCTGCGTCGGGAGACAATCGATTTCCATCTGGAAAGTTCTCCAAAGTTCATTCACAGGGTGGACTAATTCGAATGTTGAACATTTCGTGGAAGTTCGCGAGAAGGGGCACTCGACATTCGAAGAAACTGGAAGAGCGGGTAGATGGGACCCAGCGGTTGGCGCGTCGGTTGTGTGGCCGCTTATTATGATAAAGTTCGCGCGAGAGGGACTTGATAGTGATTTTTGCGCGCTTTGAAGTTAACAATCTGGAAAATTGTTTTGGTAGCGAAGGATAAACACCGCTGGATCGATCGAGTTCGTCGGGAAGGAGATGAATATGCTCGTGGATGTAACTGCGATTTTGCGCGCTGAGAATTGAGTGCCGTTGGTTTCGCCGGGGGAACGTCGAGCGTCGGATTCTGTTTATTGTTTTGAAATAGAGGACTGGTTGTTCGTCGAGAGGTCGGTGGCACTCGGAAAGTGGGTTGCCGGCACCCGAAAATGTGAGAACGAAGATGCGTGAAGTATATCGGGCGGTGCACCAAGTATTTACGTCGAAGGCAGTTCCGTTCTGGTTGCGTTCGATTTAGGAAGGAAAGATGATCATGACGCACACCGAAGAAGCGACGACGACTTACGAGTCGAAAACGTCGACGAAACAAATGAATGGACACTCATTGGTGAATAAATAATCACTTTACTTTTCCTCTACTTTCGCGTTTCGGCTTCCTCGCGGATCCTCGGGTTTCGTTTCTTTCGGGGACGAGCGACTGGAACTACCGGTTTATTTTCATTTCTGTTAGTAATTAGTTACTTCAAGTGAGAACGTTTGGTTCTCGGGGAATTATGGAATAAATGATTTTCGAATAATTTCGATGAAAGTATTCTTTTAATTCTCAGAAGGTATTTGAATATTGCGTTTTATACGAATGAGTATTCTAAGTGAACTTTGTCGCTTAATTAACTTTCTGCTTTGTTCTTGTTACGTAAATATTTTTTATAGTTTTACAGCATTACGAGTGTTTAAAAAAATCATTTTTATCGTGAGTTTTTTTTCAAGAAATGAATCATTTTAATAATAATCTTGTTGCAGTGTATACATTGTTGAGGATGTTCCGAAGAAAACACTGATATTTCTTATTATAAATATTTTACGTTTGCTTGATTGATAGTTTACGAGTGGATCGTACGATTTCTATTAAATCAGGCGCATGTTGTATGAAAACCGTTGTTGAATGAATTTTCTATTTATAATTGGGATTTCTTGTTAGACCATCGGTTTGTCATAATTCGATTCGCGAGCATTATCGTGCGGCGTCACGTTTCGGCTGGCTGATTTACATTGGCATTTGTTGGCTTATCTCGGTATATCGAAAAAGACGTAGATAAGTGTTATTTGTTCTGAAATTAAAACACGTATCTAATAACGACCACATTTATATTTAGTTTGTTCTGTATCGTATCGCGCGTGACATTCAGCGTTCACTTCGGCCTGCGTCGCCATCGAAGCGCGTTCAGTGTTTTATACACATTTTAACTACTTTGTTGTGTTATTTTCAAATTTTCTTCTTCCTCTTTCTAAATCACTCTCAATGGAAAAGATCTCAAAATGTTTCGTTTCAGATCGTTTCAGTAAGCATAAATGTACAGGCTGTCTCAAAAGTTTTTAACGTACGATCTCTAAAAATCAAACAGAATCATAATTTATAAATACTTTACCAAAGTTTTATCAAACACAGAAATCAATTTAGCGCTTTTATTTATTTGAAATGGATTTGTAAATTGATTAAGAAATTGAACAGCGGACTGTTTCACAAAAGGGAATATAATGCAAACAATACAATATTAAATTATTTAATCAAGCTGCGTTATCATTCCGTGCATGTTCACTGTACTGAATGTTAAAATAATTATCGCTTCATTGAATTGAATTACAGGAATTTGATTTAGTTGGGGATGACCGGTGACCCCCACGGTCTTAACCCATTGCACTCGAGATGCGACTCTCGGTCACTTAATTTGATACAACAAAATTACAAAGTTTCACATTTAAATATTAACCTTTCTGTAACGCATCAATATTTGAAGTGAAATACTGAAACATAATGTCTTTCTTCCTTAATTGACGTAAATTATCGTTAAGTCAGTTTCAAAAAATGTCGCCTATATTTCATCAGAAAATATTGAATATTTCAGTGAAATATTTTCAATCTGTCATGTTTAACTGAATATTTCAATGAAAAATTCGAGTGTAAAGGTTTAAACGTGTTGAATAAAAAAGTGCAACACTGATTTCCGCACCTTATATTCGTCGCGTAGATGCGACCGATCCCGATCGATCGCGAACGGGCACGGTCTATTGGGTCCGGGCCATTTTCGGTGTCAAGGTGTTCAAGAAAACAGCACGTTATCAGCGGAGTCCTTCGTTTTCTAGTATGAAACGTTAATTCATTCATAGCACGCGCCGCGAGGGGAATAACCCGACCGACTACAATTACCATAAAAAAAACTCTCGTCGATCAATTACACCAATGAACGCATTCGTTTTTGAGAACGCGCGTGCTGTATGGTTCATTTATACGCGGTGCATCGTTCCGTTAATCAGTGCATCCATTTTTCGGTGAATCAAATAGGAACGAACTTGAGTACTGTATTGAACAAAAGAGTCTTGTTTGTAACTCGGTCGTGATATACAGGGTGTCCTGTAAGCGATCGTTCTATTTGCAAATACTATATGAAATTGTGATTTTGTCTGCCGTTTTGGGGCGATTTCTTTTTATCTAATAGATGAATTTCGAAACATTGAATTAATTTCTATATCGAATAACTTTTAGTAAAGAATTTATAGATTAGATGTGAAGGTAGAAATTTGATATTATAATTGAAGGAAAAAAACTATTTGGATCGTTTTTGACAGAATAGTGTTTATTAAACGAAAATTGCTTTTTTAAATAATAGCCTAAGGTGGAAAATTAAAAATAAATGTAGGGAAAATTTATTTTTAAGAATACATTCTGATAGAATCTTCCCTGTTCATTCATCGAACTTTCAATTTGATTTGAAATTCAATAAAGATAAACTTGAGTTTTCAATTTTTCATATGTATACAATTTTCAATTTGTGTTTCAAATTCAATGAAAACAAAATCGATCGATAAATCAGAACTGCACACGTGTTGAAATTCAACAAATGCAATATTTTCTATGAATTAGTTATCACACTAAAAATCAATGCTGCTAGACCCTATAAAACGAAACTCGTTTCGTCCAGTGGTTTCCCCTCATTCCCTCCGAAACGTCGAGATTACGTATTCATAGAATTTTCCACATCGCAGTTAGTCATTGTGTTCCTCAGCTGACAATGAATGAACGAGTCCTCCTCGTCTCTTTCTTTTTTTCAAGTTCGACTCTTTTGTTGGAGATAGTTCGCAGATTTATTTGCTGAGCGGATGCACGGAACGCTCATAACTTCGATAATTTCATTTTCTCGGCTGCGCGCGGTAGTATTAGCATTTCTCGTGTTGGCATGTGGGGTCCTCTGTTAATTGTAGTTTCAATCATCACCAACCGTTTAATATTGACTCCGAAAAACTGTCTAACGCTGTTTCAACGAAAGGAATTTTGAGGAAAGAAAAGGGAAAACTGAAGAATAATTTTAACACCTTATACATATATCCTTTGTTAAGATTGACGTACATGTTAATGCAAAAGTTCTATTTAAAATTGACATAAAAAGGTAATTAATTTCTATTAATCTTATTCTTCCATTATATCTGATAAATCTGCATATGGTACCACAGTAATATGACAGAAGTGATTAAACGAGCAAATAACAATATTTTTATCTTTCAATTAAACAAGAAAAATATCTTCTCGTTAAAGAAACTTCTTTCGATTATGTAGTAAAAGGCACACCGATTTTGCGTTCAATGTAGGAAACAATCTCAGGCAAAAGGTTAATACGCTGGTAACAGAAAGTTACGTTAAAATTCGTTAAAATTCTTGTGAAACTGCCCATTTTATTGTTATTTCATGCATTCTCGAATGTTGTATAAAATCAGCTGTCTAGTAATGACCCTCCATCGACGGGGTCGAAGGTTAAAGATTTTTCAGCCGTTAACTTCAGATTACATTTATAATTTCATTAACGTGCGAACGATTGATTTCTCGTTCACGCGATTCCGTTCGTTCGTAGTAGCTGCGTACTGAGAAGACGAGGTGATAAGCTTATTTATTCTTGACTCGTTCACTCGGATATATTAATAATATCGTGCGACTATATCTGGGGACAAAAGGTCCACATGGAAACGACGTCGACTCATTTTAAACCGTCCCACTCTCGATGGTTCATCTTGAAATCGGCGACATTATTATTGCCACATCGCCTCTGCATTCCTCTGAATACAAATTAGTCCTCGTAATCGTTTGTTTTTGCGCGACATTCGTATTGGACGGTTCAACTTTGTTATATGCCGGTCAAACAGCAAACTCGTCTTCTTCCCGGGAAGTCGAATGACGTTTCGCAAAACAAGGATAAAGGAAACAAGACTTCAGTAAGATTGAGAACAATAATAATTTCCCCTATAAACGAAATAATGAACAACTGTAGATTTCATGTTCGAACACTTCAAGATTGCAATTATTATCAGACCAATGAATTTAATTAATCATTATCTGTAAGATTAAAGTTTCTGCTTGAACGCTCGTTATTTAACGAATTATTATTAAGTATGGGATAACAGATTGCAGAACCGTGGGCGTAAATAAATGCGAGACTGTGGTATGGAGAACTATTTTACTACGGTGCTGTCGCTTCGATGGCTACAAAACGAGTGCCCTGAGAAGAGCACTGTCTAGCCTTAGGACCTAACCCAGACCAGCATTCGGCTCTTCCTTTGTTTAGGTAGATTATTATGTAATTAAAGATTAAAGAATTATTTTTGTGCCAAATCATAAGTGTCCAGGTACAGTTAGCCCACCGCGGTCATGCCAAGCTGCGCCAAGCTAAAAGTGTCCAGGGGCAAGGGGACTCTTCCACTCAGAATGGTCGCGCCAATAGCTACAGAACAACCGTTGTTGTTATTGGCCAAGCCGCGTGACGAAGAAAGCAGACGGAACAGAATGCGACGGAGTGAGATAAGACGAACATTATTGTCGGATTTGGTTTCGCTGGCTTCTCGTATTTACGATATTCCGGTAACACAGAGATCCGAATACTGTTTTCTGGAAGGACTGAGGCGTAGCGTGTCCTTTGAATCATCTTGCTCCTATGCTCTTTTAACTTGATAGAAGTCGGTATGGACGTGGCGGGCCAATTGTATATACGCTTCACGATTACATTGCAAAACAACTGAAGTCATGATTTATTTCGGAAAATTTCATTTTTTGTATTTCAGTCGAGATCTACAAGAGACTTTGATGTAATAATATCAACGTCAATCATTATTTGTCCACGAATGAAACTTTCAGCTGCAATATTTCCGAGACAAAAAACTTCTGTGTTTTCGAAAAAGTTTCTTTATATTTTGCGACTGATATCCCCAATTTCTAATTCTTCGCAACAAAATTTTTGCTTAACCCTTTATACTCAAGGGCTCCGAAGCAGAACCATTTAAAATTTGTCATTACGAACTGTACAATTTTGTATCTGTAACAGATGAAAAGACAGTAAAGTACATCTA